ACACACACACACACCTCTCTCTCTTTCTCTGTTTGTCTGTCTCTCTTTCTCTCTTTAATGACAGCCGCTCTTCGTCATACAGTTGATTGGGTGTGGGAGAAAGTGATTGGATCTCGTCATCATTTAAAAGAAAAAGAAGAACAGGAACAACAACAATTATGTTATCATCGTTCCCAGGCGTTTAATAATAATAATAATAATAATAATAATAATAATAATAATAATAATAATAATATTAATAGTCGTAGTGCCTCTCAGGTGTCCATGATGAGAAATGATTATATTCGCAGAGTTCCACCCAATCCGGTGTCGAAAGATGATATGTGGCGTTATGTTTCCTCTGTCCAATTCTCATCATGGGAGTTGCCATTAGATAAAACTCACACATGTGAGAAGAATGGGGAAGGAAATCCTAATAATCCTAATAGTAATAATAATAATAATAATAATAATAATAATAATAATAATAATAATGATAATAATAATAGCCATTGTTATTATCATTATAGGAGTGGAGATGGAGCTATTACTACTAATACTACTAATGATACTATGAATAATATTGGTGTTGTTGGTCAAACTGTAGATGGACGAGTACTCTTCACACCCACAGAGACTCCTCCACCACGTAAACCATTAGAAATTAGTGGAGGATCATACAGTAGAGAATTGTCAACTAATATTAATAATATTAATAATAATAATAATATTAATAATAATAATATTAATACTACTATTGGTGGTGGTGGTGGTGGTGTGGGTTCCTCCTTTTTTCTTCCACCGCCTCTGAGTTATACTGGAGTGGGAAATAGTCTCCTTACTCAACGTGAAGAGGAGGCACAGATGTTAGCAAGAAGTATTCGAAAAACAGAGAAACTACTACAACTCAATAATAATAATAATAATAATAATAATAATAATAATAATCATTATCATCAACATTATCATCATCATAATAGCCGTAGTCTCTTATCATTTGTGGAAACGCGAGAAGATCAACACAGACGTGAAATGTATGATGTGATGATGAGTACATTTTGTGAGAATGCCGTGAGAAGTATGGTAACCGATCATTTAACTCTTTTACACGGTGTATCGATGCGGGCATTAGATCATATTATCATTCAAACACTTATTCATGAAGTGGCAGATGCTATTCATCTTATTAAACCCAAACAGAAATTATTTTGTGGAATTCAACGACATATTAAAGAAGAAAAAGCCGTACTTCTTCACGCCGTGATAACAGATGAAGAAGATACAGAAGTATTTAGAGAAACTATGCAAAAAGGAATACGGAATGATCGATTACGAGAAAGTACAGCCGTATCTTTTAAAAATGGTCTCTCTTTAACATATGAACAACTCGCCACTTTAGGACCAGGCCAATGGTTAAATGATCAAATCATTAATAGTTATTTAAGTATGATATGTGAGGAACGGAATAATAAAGCTAAAGAGGAAGTAACGATGTCTATGGGAACTCATTTCTTTACAAAGATTGAACAGGAATTACGAGGAAATGGTGCTACTATGGGATCAAAGGAATTACCACCATTACAAATAAATAGTGGTATTCTTCGTTGGTTAAAACGTCGTCGACATATTTTACTTCCAGGCACTACTCGTATTATTCTTGTTCCAATTAATCTCTCCCAAACACATTGGGCATTAGCGGTATTAAACTGGGAACATCATACTTGGGTTTATTATGATAGTTATATACATGGAGAAGCCACCATTGCACGTGGGGAGTTTATTCTTCGTCAATTAGCCCATACCTTCTCTGAGGCAAGGCGATTATTATTATTATCATCTAATGATAATAATAATAATAATAATAATAATAATAATAATATGAATATGAATATGAATATCCCTTCTTCTTCTACTTCTTCTACTAAAGTGGATTGGCGTCTTTGTGTAGCCAAACCATTACGTTCATCCATCGTCTCAACAGAGATGCGGAATTTCTTATTAGCACCCCAACAACATAATATGTACGATTGCGGTGTGTTTGTTTGTCATTTCGCGTGGTGTTTAATAAATGATTTGCCGCCGTTGTTTACACAAGAGGATGTGACGATGTTTAGACGTGTGATGCTGCATGAGTTGTTACTGCAGAGAAGTCTACTGCGTATGCCTCTTCATTTCTTCACAACTCTTTAAAGTTTTTTTTTCTTTTTATTCTAAAAAGAACAAAGCAAAAAAAAAAAAA